CATGCAAAGGAATAGAAGGAAATGAAATCAAGAAATATAACTATTACTTGTAAATTATAACTAAAGGGTAATAAAATAGATGGTGAAAAACTTTGCTTATTTACTAAAAACACATATTTTATTATAGATTGAACTCCCCATTCCTAACGTCGTCGTTTTACTTGAAGAAAAAACAATGAAGTAAAGGAAATTAGAGATCTTACCATGATTGCTGGAGATCTCACCATGATTAGCCATTTGGGTATCCTTAGCAGCCATTGTAGTGCAGAGACCAGTAGAATGATACAGCAGCTTAGCTATATATTTATATATATGTACGTATATGTCTATGTCTATGGACAAGCAGAGAACAAAGAGAGAGAGAGAGAGAGAGAGAGAAGCTTTCTCTCCTTGTTACTGTCCTTAGCAATGTCTATGCTTCTGTTAACTCGGTGAGAATGATGGATTTTTATAGAGGGAGGTTGCGTTTTTTCCTTAATTTTGGAAAGCACTTACATTTTATTTTATTTATTGAATAATACAAATCACAAAGAAAATTTCATAATGAAAATATACCCAAATGCATATCTCAACTCTAACTTATTTTTTTGAGAAAAATATTTTCTGATTTTTGTTCGATTCTGTACTTACTTAATTTTGTATCAAATTAATTTATATATTTTATTAAAAATATTTAAATTAAATTATTTATTTATTAGTGTCTCTTAACACCAATAACACCTGATATCACGTGTCACCGATTAATATTCTTTACATTAAATATAAAGTCCTAAGTAATATAACATGTACAAATATTATATGCCATAATTAATGACACATGTATCAGGTATTAATAACTGAAGGAGAAAAAGATTGACTCCCAACTTTTTTTTCTTAGCACATTTTTTTTCATTCATTAACTTCTCTTCTCCCTTTTTTTTCTCTATCTTACTAATAACATGTTAAATAGACATCTCACTTTATTCCATTAGTACAATCAATGGTGACAAACTTTAATTAACCAATATTTTTCTTAATGTTATATTTTGTGCGTATATTTAATATGTTTTTTTAGTTAATTTTGGTATAAAATAAAACCCATTACTATATTTATTACATGTCAATAAAATTTATATTAATTTGCAAATTGATTTATTAAATCAAAGTAATTTAATGAGAGAATTAAAAAACCAAGACACAAAATAATGGAACCCATCATCACTATTTAGTTTTAAAAATTTCCATAATTGGGTAAAATAATAATAACTAATAATAATGATAGTAATATAATTATTATTTATTTGTATTCATTTCATTTTTCTCAAATTTAAATATTATTTAATTTCCTCACTTTTTACTTTTTATTCAAACAATAAATATTTATAATTTA